ACATGTTCATGGAGTTTCTTGCTCGTTCGTCTCCATTCGAATCTACAATTTGGAACGAGCACCTAGCTTCACTGACGAACAGACTACTATTCTATTTTGACGTTTCAAAAGTACCTAATTATGGACTAGTTGGAATAAATGATTTTGACTTTTGACTTTTTTTTGACATCAAATTCGTACGTTGGTATTCCTTTGTTTATAATTTAGTCGGATCAGTGAATGTCTCCATACTCCCCAGACCGGCGGAACAATAAAAAGAGATGCTTCTAAAATCGTTTTCTTTGAAGAGCCCACTAATGAATCAGTGTGTGATGTGTCCAGAAATAGTGTCCTTTGGTACGAGGTGAGGGTGGCACTGGCGCCACATCGATGTTTGCTTTACTAATTTGAGAAAAGTTTATTCGTCTTGGAAATGTCCATTAAAAGCAAACTTCGGATTTTTTTCTCTTTATTAAATTTAGAGACTTTTATATAATAAAGAGAAAAATATCTTTATCTTAGAATATAATTGTGAGTTTGCTTGCTATATAAGATAGTTCTAAGACGAAAAGTTGTTACATATTCAGATTGAGATGCTGATTCATATAGTGTTGAGACAAATGTGGCTTCTGTTTAAGAGAAATTATTTTACTCACATATGTATATTGCGAAAGCGGTAGCTATGGGTCAACAGATGTAGTGTTAAATCAACTAGATAGATAGGGATAGGTTGTAACCTTGTTTTTTTTAAAAAAAAACCTTGCCTCACACTAGGATTTTGTCCTGTGTCGTGGGTACAAACATACATTTTTAAATGCACTTTACACCCAGACCCGAAACAACAATCTGTGGATCACACAAAGACTTGTTAACCTACTTAGGTACTACTACTACTACTAAACCTTGTGACCAACCATCATTTAGGGAATACCAACTGATAAGTACCGAGACCTCGCAAATGTTTTTATTTTTAGCATACATAGACAATGACACATTAAAGACAGATAATACTTTTATTTTCATAAAACGTAATTATGATGATCCCTCGATTACTTTGTTGTAAAAGCACTGACTCATATCTTGCACGGGGTTAATTTTAGTTTGTTTATTGCTATTTTGATTGTGAGTATTAAGGAATTGTTATAACATATCATGTCCTTCACAATTGAAATTAGATAACGTATATTCTTTATCTTGTGTCATGTAAATATTTTGTGTATTTCAAAATTATTATCTACACGTTTTGTGTATTGCCAAAATTACTTTGGATGAATTACTGACTTTATGATGTTGTTCATACATTATATGGTCATATAAGTAAAATTGCCTTTAAGTTTGTTTGTCTGTGGATCTAACTAAACCTGTGGATAGAACACAATGCTTGCTGTACCTAGTTAGTAAGTGAACTAAGTACACTTTATATAATTCGTAAGTGAGTCATCCTTAATCTCCCTAATTTGAAGCCAAGGCTTTTCTCAATTGAATTACGGACAGATAAACTTATCAATTTCCATTTTGACATAACTGGTGACTAGCGGTGAGTCGGCACTAGTTTATCAAAACTTTGGTTATTTCAAACTACCTAATACGTCTTTTCATGAATCAGTATTGTTTACTAATCTTTAAGCACTTGAGTACTTGACAGCTACGAACGTCTGCCAAATGAGATGAATGGAAATGGTCACAAACATTTGCCGATATGGTTATTTTTCTCCACATCATCATAATATTACTTATGGCGTAACCTGGCGCAACATGAAGAAATACGTGACGTGATATTATGTCTAGATAGAGGTGGATCATGTCAAAATTTTGAATAATCATGTCTTTGATGTGATCTAAGAACAACTGGATGTGGTTCACACTGCACTCTTTCGTCGTAAGTGCGTAATTCGTTTAGGTACTAACTTAATCTTATGGTCCACAGATAACTAGGTAGTAATTTTATTATATGTAGACTTGATTTCATTTGAGCCTTAATATTTGAAGTAAGTTTTTTCCTTTTTATTTTCTATTTAGCTTCGCTTTCCTTATAATGTATTATTATTATTTAATTTTGTAGTTGTTAAGTTTAGGTATGTGTGTTCTGCGCAAAAATAAATGGTCTATCTTTCTTTCTTTCCAATTTCGATTCTGTTTCTCAAGGTTCAGTTACGCCATTAATATCATTAAAATCAAATAAATTTCAGTTGCCTATATTAAAGTACAGTTAACGTACCGTTACTACTTCCCGAAACCGCATTTTACGAGTAAAGCTCTCTGACTCATAATGAAATGAAACCGAATGAAAGTAAATTGTTTTACAGAGCGGCATTAGCAGTAATAGCGGCCACTTTCAGTAATATAATGACTGCGCTAATAACGATGTAATTATTTACAATCTTTCCCTCGCAACACTCGATGCTCGCCACTCTGCTCTGCGGAGTCTCCCGTACCACATCATCGTCACAAAACTTAAATAACGATCTTGAGTCAGCCAGTTACAGTTTGAACTTGAAACTTCTGGGACTTGCTGCTTGAAGTATTATTAAAACAACCTGATTCTAATATGACACAAAACGTTCTATTTTTATAATCTGTAAATATTATGGTTTACATATAGATACATATCAAAACGCCAAGATGGAATATAAGGAAGCAATTTTCTTTTTCTAAGTATGTAAGTATACTTGTCGTATGGATCAGAAGATTTACCTATAATCATTCATTAGCTTAGTGCTAATACTAGGAATACCAAAAATCCCAATGCATAAGCGACCACACGAGCAACGAGCTAGAAAATTTTCGAAATAAGTGGTTTAAATAAATAGAAAAAGTAATTAATTACATAAATATAGTAGTTGGTCAGAAGCATGTGAAGCTGCATTGTGTAGTGTGGGAATGGGAGCGACTGAAACACTTTCAGTGGCCTTCTGTTGGCGGTCCACAATAAGCACTCGTTATACAAACATTGAGAGATCAGATCACTTAGTTTGCCTAGAAAGCTGTAGGGTTCACACTCTTGCAAACAACCGTGTTTTAAATTTCACACTGCTACTCCCTTCAGAGGTAAACAGAGACTTCTTCAACCTGCACCTACTTACAACGCCGATTTTATCTTCAACGCCAAGCATTAAATCCCAATATGTATTTGAATAAAATGTGACACATAGATACATAGATACATAGATAATAATCTGGAATATCACTTAGGGTACCTACAGTTTCCCGGTTACGGGGACGAAGGTGCTGGCAGAAGTAGTTAATTAGTAAATGTCTAGTATTTTGTTGTGAAGTAAGTGGAAGACGAATACGGGATGGATAATTTAATAAAAAAAGTCAAATTTCGTAAGTACCTATTCAGCAAGTTAGGTTTGTGACAACGTGTGAGAATTAGCACAGTGTGGTCGGCTTCAGTGCTCTAATAGCGAGTCAGTATTGCTAAATACAATATCATTACACTGACTGCTACTCTTTCTACACATAATCTGATAGGGCTGTCAATTTTTAAAACAAACGATGTCATCGTTTGTTTCGTATGAGACAAATTTATATTCGTTTTTTATCCATTGCGTAGTAGTTAGTTTAGTTTTCCAAAATTTTCAATTAGTGACTAATAATACAGTAGCTTACTTAAATTGTTACTTTGGATATGTCAAAGTAAAATATATCACTATATAACTTAACTGGCCCAATAAATTGGTGTCAGTATAACTAAAATTCAAGCGTTTTCAGGCCACGGATACCATAACGTAATGTCGATGACACATTGCGCTGAGATGCTGAATGAATAGGATTTTAGTTAAAGAAATATCAACGGGTTACGTGGCAGTTACATTATACACTTACTTATCAAACGAACGATAGTTTTATCAACTTGTTACATATATTTTCAGCAATCGATCAAAGTCACTTGAATAGTGGATGATTCAGAATATTGAATTACGTTACGAAATCTGTTATTCATAATAGCTAACCTGCTCTTAAAATAGTCAATCTGACCTATTTACATCATTTTAGATAACCATTACGAGCAAGCATCTTTGGTTGACAGCCCTACAGTGGGCTGCGTCCGCGGCTGCGCAGGCGCCGAACTCACGCGCATCAGTCGCCGCGCGCTTTCACGACACTTTCACGAATTTAGCATTCGCCGCGCAGGTTCACCGTATTGCCGTATTACTTAACGCCCGTGTCACATATCTTGATTATACACAAATATAAATAATATTAGCATCTCTTAGCTGTGTCATCATAATTGACTATTGACCAATACAAATCTCTTTTTCGAGTTTCGAGTTTTGTTGTTAATAAATTCTTCTGATGGTAAGCAATGATGCAGCGATGGAAAAGTCATATCGTCCAACGACGGAATAACCTTTTCCACGATCTTTACCGAAAGCCCATTGCAGTTGTCATTTGATCATGTGTCCTTACCAGATTTATGGAATTTCTCAGAAGCAGAGCAAACATTTCTCAGTCCCAGCTTCATTTGTACTGTTACAGATTTTGTAAAAGTATATGGAACAAAGCCCTTGAGGTTGCAGATTTGTTTGTATTGACAAGTACAATCTCCCTGATAATCTAATATTTGGAACTAGAAAAATATATTTGCATGCGATTAATCTTAGATGTAGGTAAGACAGATGGTACAGCTAGATGTAGGCTATCTAAGATCACAACATGTGATAATGCATTTAGGGATAAACAAATTTGTAAGAAAAGAAATATCTTATTACCTAAATAACCTGCAGCTTTATAAAGCATTTTAAAAACTTTCTAGAACACGTGAAATGTGACTTAATGCCATCGTAAAGCCAAATAGTGTATTTCGTTTATTTTAACGTATACAATCAATAAAATGCTAAATGTATAATATCATACGTTACTTTGGAAAAAATAGATCACGGATTTTGATGGCAATTTTAAATACGGAATCGTCGTTATATACTACATTTGCATGGCCATGCAAGAGGGATGGAGAAAGAGGTAGAAATGAGTGTCTCTGGTGATAGTATTTGTAAGTATAATGTTGTTTGTTCCAGGATAACTACACGATGCGCTCGAGCAAAGCCGTGCGGCGCAGCAGTAGTCTCATGTCCTGGCGGAGCCTCAAGACGGAATACGTGAGTACACCATGCTTACATAATAGCAGTTCATTCACTCATATACTGGTAGTGGAGTTATGTAGTTGATCTATCTTTGAAAACTTGTCAAATATAAAGTTAATCAAAGAACTTCCTTTTTAAAGCGTACGTATGTATGTAACGTAGTAATTTTATACTTGTGAATATATACACAATGAAAACATACAACATATTGCCACTTTAGAGTTGAACACGTTTCTTTAAAAGCACAATCAATAAGTATTTCATATTGTTCGAGAAACCAAAAACACCAAACAATACTGACCACAAGATCGAATAACCATTGAAAAAATCAATTACGTGGCAGAACTGAAAACGTGTGAAAAATCAGCGCAGGCGCAACTCAGTCAGCAATAGTCGTAAATTGAAACTGCATTGTTCGGTCGTGAACTTTGCGCAAGCGCCGCGCCGGAGGTCAAGGCGAGCTGTTACTGATGTTTACCTAACGTCATTAGTGCGCTCCGGTTTGTGCACGACGCATGCTGCATTATGCTGGAGTGCTTCACTAGATGATGGCTAATTTGCCCAAACAATGGCTGGTGTAGATTTGCTACGGACTCTACGCGAAATATAGCCTCGCGTAACCAACGTAATGTTTAGTGAAAATTATAACGAATCCCAAATCCCAATTTACTTCAGGCGCAGCGCTTGGTAAAGTCATGTTGCACGGAAGAGAGCAGCATAGTAACTAGCTCTACTGTTAAAATTTCCCATCCATGTATCCAAAGATGTATGCCATCTTTTATGACATTAATTATACTGATTATTGCCAAGGTTTCATTGTTCATCGTCAATAACTGTAGTTACAGATGTCTCCCACTATATCATTGAGAAAAGAGAGCCAATTTAAATCTGAAGTTATTCAACCTATTTAAAGAATAATATAATTTATCATATACATCATTACTCACGCCACAATACGTAAAGTTATATGCAATTTATAAAGATGTCAATACAATCGCTCGCATAAACTACATTTTCAGCCATTAATATTTTATGCCGTTCACGCGTTGATTGCTACTGGTATTTATTGATTTTTAGTTTACTTTTAATGGTTTTCAATGCAAATTTAAAATCACAATTCTCAGTATATTCCGAAAATAATGCAAATTAAATACAAAGCAAATAAAGAATTAGAATTTGAATTCCGAAATTGTTTGCTGGTTAATTAATGTTGATTATCGTTATCTAAATTAAACATCTGCCTTATAAGTGTCCACTGCTGAGCAAAGGCCTCTTCTCATACGGAGAAGGTCTGAGCTAAATGAATCAGATTTGGCTAACAATGGTTACTTCTTCACCTACCTGGAGTGGTGCAGTGTTTAAATTTCGGATTTCCTCATTCAGCTCTAGGTTACCATGGAAAAGTTAAGGACCCTCGAACCCTGATTCGGTTGTAACGCATGCCATCGAGTAGAATAACGAGTTTTGACGTTGTAACCTGTAAATACATAACTGTTTAGATCCCTACATGCGCATCATTAAATTTGCATTGACATGTAAATGAATAAATCAAATATCAACACAGGTAAAACGGTGTCATTTGTCTTTTTGTGTATGTCAGTTACAAAAATAATTTTCATGTCAAATGTTACCAATACTGGGCCGCTTCCTTGTTATCATCACAGATCTAATGTAAGGCTAAATTTCTAGCCCTTCTTGCAATAAATCTGCTAGCCCGGAATACTACACCCGTAGCTAGCGTAGCACTAAGTTCGAAGTGCGTAGTTCGTAGCGTGTATTTTGTTTCGCGTAGGACGTAGCGCGTAGTTCGTAGCGTGTATCTTCTATCTTCGAGTGGGAAATACCTGGACCTTAATCAAAATGCATATCTAGGCTACTAGAAACATTTTTACTACAAAAACTATACAGAATAGTATTAAACATTGAATGTATATTTAATTTAAATCCCATTGGATCAATACGAAATCGGCCAGTCCACGCATTTTTACTAAAACAGTTCATACATTCGTTGATTCTTTATCTAGAGACGCATTTCATTGTTGATGTAGATATGTAGGTACCAGGTATCGCCGCTGCGCAGGCGCAGTGAAGTTTTACGACATCTGTCAGTATCTGCATCGCCGACATACCGGGGAGCGAGGCGCAGTGACACACGGCGCACGGGAGAAATTGCTAATTAAAAGAAAATAGTTTAGCTATAACGAGCAAAAGTTTGTCTTGACAGCACTATCGCTTGCAGCGCAACCTTGATTTATATTTAACATCTGGTATTCTGGTCAGAAAGCGTTGCAGCGGCTGGATTTATTAAATGAGAAATATGTTTTACGGCATTACCAAACGCGATAATGATGAAGAATGTGCTTTTCATATTGAAGTATTTGTTTTTTGTTGTGCAATAAAATATGATACGTCTGAGTGACACGCTATGAAGTGGTCGCGATGATGATGCAGCAGCCACCATCGACGCCGCGGCGAGTGGTCGCGCGCTGCACGCATGCGCTAATGGCTCGGTGTAACGTCTGCCGCCATAGTGCGTCGGTTTCACGTGCGTGACATAGTTTTACGACTAACAAACATATTTCCTCAATTAGTGGGTAACTATTCATCTGATATAAACATTAATTTATGGATTAGTATTTCATGTTTAATGATCTAGCTGTAAATAACTGCAACTTCGTAATTTGATTCGGAAATTAATTTCTGGTATCGTCGCCACGAATACTCTATCTATACTTTAATCAGAACCTACAGATGTGGGAACAATTACGACACTCGCCGTCGCATGTTGCTTACTATTAGGTGTAGTGAGGGAGGTCCAGTCATGTCTGAAACAGAGATAGCATCAACTAATTACCGGTACTTTACTGTAATAACAGCATCGCACTATATTATTACACTTAAATATAAGGTATCGGCAATGTTTTAAGCAAATAATCCGCCGTCAGAACTACAATTACTACAAAGTGAGCGATTGCTCCACTGACACCGTGCTGACTGCATTGGTTCCATGCGATCATCTCAGGAATCCGCACAAAACATGCAACATGCAAGCTGCAACATGCAAATTGGAGAATAACATTCACATTCAATTTCACTCACTGTCACTTTTGTATTTGTTATATTAATGAGAGAATTCCATCGTTGGACTATGTACATAAATCTACTAAACAACACAATGCAAACTTCTAAGTAGGTACCGATAATATCAATCAATGGTTATGAAACGACACATGTCTATCTTGGTGCTATTTATGTAGTTATGCCTGTATTCATACACAAATAACTACAGTATATACCGACTTTTCAAAGTAGAAATATATTTTTTTAATAACAAATGTGATACTTGCTTCTGCTATAATAAGTTATTCACACAAAAAACGGTTCCTATATACCTACTCATGTTATATACAATAAGTATCGCGCTTGGTGTATTTAAGTATGTAACTAATAGTGGCTTAGGATGCATAGGTAAGTACAATATAAATGTTTCACATTTTTAAACACGTTAAAAATAACTCAACGTATCCTATATCCACGACCAAGAATAACAACAAGTAAAGTTGCTTTATTGCATCTTTTTTTAAAGACACTGTCGACACTGGCGACATCTAATGGCAGATACTTGACACCGATTGTAAAAATCAATAGACAAATAATTTGAAAATAATGACAACAGAATCCAGTGTAACAGCCCATCAAATATTTAAATCTATAATTTTTTGGAAGTACAGTTGTCAACAAATGTTTTTAATTATTCATTTATTAAATGTTACAGATCTTATAGAGAACCATTCAGAAATGCTACGGCAAATAAGGGCGTTGTTAAAAAATGTCTTTAGATATAATCAGTAGTCTTATTATCTATGCATATATTTTAAAATAATATAAAACTGAAAAGATGTTTGTGTGAAGATCTCCAAAACTACTAATTCAAATTGCTTAATCTTTTTATGTTTGTTATTTGTTGTACTAGTAGTAGTAGTAGTAGAGTAGCTGGTTCTGGAGAAGCAAATATAATATGAACATGTGAGAAAATTTCAAACAAAGTTTTTATGTTAAGTTATTTATCTTTAACTAATTGAATCCGACTGACATTATTGAATACAGATATCACTGAACTCGTTATTGTATTCAGATTAAATATTGTACATTAAATACAATTAGGTACGAGTTCAATGAGATTCAACATGGGTAGTGCATATTTAAATCCATTCAATAAAGTAAATAAAATGTTCCCTACCACTTCTGTCGCTGACAGTACAATCACTTAAAGTTAATAAAAGCGAAATCCACCTGATCACAGTCATCACAATGTAGATCAAACCATAATAGCGGGATGATGGCCAGTGAAAATGAAACGCCGTTACACTCATTTTCTTTATTTTTATCAAAAAACCAGAAACTCTTCGACGCTTTTATCACCCATCTATTCAATCTTAACAATATATTATTTGCATCTCTCAAAATGATTTACAAGGGAACTTGAACTTTAAATCTTGTGAAATAAAGATGTAAAGTTAGTTGTGTAAGTACGTTTTAAGTTTGTGCTGTTTAAGCCACAGTGTTGATAGACAATTGAGTCAATTAGAGGAAATTATCTGTACACAGGTACTGTACGTCAGTGGTATTGTGTTGGGATGGTTTCCACAATGGGTGTTGAGTGTTGACGTCCTGTGTTAAAGGTGATTTATTGTTTAGAGATTACGTTTAATGCGTATTGCAACAATGCATGTATCGCGAACCTCGGTGGGAGTAACCTCTCATGAAGTTATGTTCCGTGGTCTGAGGGTTCCACATTAAAAGGTCAAACATGTTACTGTATTGTTTGAAAGAATGGTCAGTTAATGAGCTCACTAATGATGAAAAAGGATGAAATTCTTTAAACTATAGATGTGCTTTCATTCTTTAAATATAAGGCAATACATCTTAACTTCAACATTTATAGCACCTAATTAAAAGATTGGAGGAAAATGCGATTCATATTAGGTACTTAATGATATCTTGTTTGAGCTGCT